GCAGGAAAATGTTATTCCCAGAAGTTTTGTCAGACTCCTTCCCTGTCCCCGTGTCTGCCTTTTCACCTGACCTCTGAGCAACGGGGATTTAACAGATGTGATTGACATGTGGAGCCGCTGTGGGGCTGGAGCAACCTGGGGGCTGTTGGCTGCTGCCCCTTCCCAGAACTAGGAGCCTCTCTCCTCCACTCTTCCTCTGGAGTTGGGAAGGTGGAGTACCAGCATCAGCTTATCTCGGCAGAGTTTCTCATTGGAACAAATGTGGGAGAAACTGTGTCCCAGGGAGGAAGTAGGCAGGTCAGAGAGGGATGATCCTTGACTCTCTTACTGCTGACTTGACATCCCTGTGCAGGCTTTGTTTGTTTAAAGTGAGAAGTCAGGCCTTTTCTTTTGTCAACCTTAGTTTTTCTCATCGGGACCAGACTAGATGGGCACATTTAAACAAAAAGACCCAGTGCACATGCCTGGAAACGATTATTTATTTTGTGGATCTAGGGCGATGCCGCCTCACCAGGGAGAAGACATCTGAGTGGCTGTGCTGGGTCACCTGTGCCGTTTGTCTTCTCTCTGGATGGTGGTAGACGTTGCTCACCAGTGCGATCGGGAACCTGTGTTCTGCCTCAAGAATCCTGGCCCGGGAACTGTCGTTTTCCTGAGCTGCAGCCCTATACAGGACTGAGAGTCTTGTTTTTCCCCAAAAGAAGAGATGAGTCTGCAGAATTCTAGTTCACAGTTCTAATCTGTAGCCTCTGTGGAAAGGAACCTTGTTTCTAAATGCCTTTTTTAAACACAATTCCTAAGCTACTGTGTAGGATCTGCTGGGCATTTGGGTGAGAACTGCAGCAAATATGGAAGAGCCTTGTGTTGGTGGAGGAATCATTCCTCCTCATGTGAGGAAAGATACGTTATTCTGCTGAGAGTCATATTGACATACTGATTAAAATCTGAGCCCTTGGGGCGCCTGGGTGGCTCAGTTATTAAGCGTCTGCCTTCGGCTCAGGTCATGATCCCAGGGTCCTGGGATCGAGCCCAGCGTCGGGCTCCCTGCTCAGCGGGAAGCCTGCTTCTCCCTCTCCCACTCCTCCTGCTTGTGTTGCCTCTCTCTCTGTGTCTCTCTCTGTCAAATAAATAAATAAAATCTTTAAAAAAAAAAAAAAATCTGAGCCCTTAATCTGTGGTCTCCGGATTCCTCCTTTTTATCTACTCGAGGTCTTGGGTATGTTTCAGTGATGAGCTTGTTCCTTGAAAGAGTTAGCCACATTGGTCAGTATCACTACCTTAGAATCAGGCCCTCGACTCGCTGGAATCTGGTGGACTCTATGGGTTCTTTGTGACCTCCAAGTTGCCATAGCAAAACCTGCCTGGGTCTCCCTCTGCTGCCTTTGATGGGATCATTTGCTGGCTTCTCCAGTGGCTGGGGGTGGGGGTTTTAGGTGTTGCCCTCTTCGCCCCAAGCACCACCCTTGGTCAGCCGTGGAATCTCTGTCACTGACTCTTTTCAATGTCAGATTTGACTTTAATGTCATCTGGATGTTGCACGTGCTCTGCAACACACCCAAAAATGATCTCTTCCCACTTGGCTTCCCGAATCTGTCCCTCCTGCTACACGGCTGACCCTTCTGCTCAGGAGCCCAAGCAAGGGACTAGAGTGCCACCCTCTCTCCTTCCTTTCACTCTTTATGTCTCGCTTTCAGTCCTTGTCTGTTTTCCTGATGACATCTCTCCATTCCACCCTGCTGTCTGGGCCACCACCCTCCTCATCGGCCCTTTAAACCTACTTTGACCTTCCTCCAGTTCTGCCTCACACTTCTTTCTAAGTACAGATTGATTGCCTCTTTGTCAACCCTTTGGTAGCTCCAGTCACCTCCCTGGAAGGTCCTCATTCCTCACCCTAACCTGTTCCTGCTGCTTCCAGAACTTCAACCTACCCTGCCCCTAGTCCTGTCTTCATACCACCAGACTGCCTGTTCCCAGGCCCAGGGTTTCACCATAGACCTCTGAATCTTTGAGTGTGTTTTGCTCTCTGCCTGAAACACCATTCCCACCTTTCCTCACCTGACTCATTCTTACTTTAAATTCAGTGTGGGGGTCACCTCCAGGAAGCTTTCCCTAACCCCTGTGTTATTCTACATGTATCTATTGTTTCTCAAGCCTAACACCATTCTATATTGAAATGATCTGTTTTTATGGTTTTTTCTTAATTTACACTGTGACTTTGGTGACCGTGTTTTACTTATGTGTCTGTGTGTGTGTGTTAAAGTATAATTTACATTGGACCATGTCTTATTCATTCCCCTATCCCTAGCACCTAGTAGATATTTTGTGAGATAAACTAAAATATTTATGGAACTCTGCCCCCAGTTCCTGGCACAGGGTTCCTGAAACCCTTGTAATGTCCTAAGTGCTAAGAACACCAGGAGCATCTCTTGTTCTGATATTTGGCCTTTGACCCCAGTTCCTGATACAGGCTCCTGAAACCCTTGCAATTTCTTGGGTGATAGGAGTGTCTTTTGTTCTAATAAGGTGAATCTGAGTGGGCTCCCAGGTGACTCCTAGATGGGAACTGGTCACCAGAAAGACTAAAGCTGTGATTAGAAGCTTGGAATTTTCAGCCCTGCCTCCCATTCTATTGAGAAGGGATTAGGGTCGAAAATGGAGTTAATGATGGATCATGCCTGTGTGATGAAGTCTCCATAAAATCCCAATAGTAGGGTGTTCTGGGAGCATCTGGGTTGGTGAACACATGGAAGTGCTGGGAGAGTGGGGCACCCAGAGAGGGCATGGGAGCTCCGCGCCCCTTCCCACATGCCTGGCCCACCCTGTGCGTCTCTTCCATCTGGATGTTCACCTATATCTTTTAATAAACTGGTAAATGTAAGTAAGTGTTTCCCTGAGTTCTGGGAGTCTCTCTAGCAAATTAATTGAGCTCAAGGAGGGGGCTTTTGGGACGCCGATCTATGGCCAGTTGGTCAGAAGCACAGGTGATAACCCAGGCTTGTGACCTGTGCTGAAGTGTGTATGAGGGAGGGAGCAGTCTTAGGGGACTGAGCCCTTAACCTGTGGTATCTGACGAGATCTTTGGGTAGACAGTGTCAGAACTGAGTTAAATTGTAGGACATCGGCTGGCGTTACAGAATTGCTTGATGTGGGGACTCCCCACACATGTGACCAGAGGTGTCAGAAGTGAAGTGTTCTAGAGGCGCCTGGCTGGCTTCAGTCAGTGGAGCGTGTGACTCTTGATCTTGGGGTTGTGAGTTTGAGCCCTGTGCTGGGTATAGAGATTACTTTAAAAAAATAAAATCTTTTTTTTTTTTTTAAAGATTTTATTTATTTATTTATTTGAGCGAGTGGCACAGCGAGAGAGGGAACACAAGCAGGGGGAGGGGCAGGAGGGAGTGGGAGAGAAGCACACTTCGTGCTGAGCAGGGAGCCTGCTGTGGGGCTCGATCCCAGGATCCTGGGATCATGACCTGAGCCGAAGGCAGTTGCTTAACCAACTGAGCCACCCAGGTGCCCCCAAAAATAAAATCTTTAAAAAAAAAAAAGTGAAGTGCTCTCTGTGAAGGTAAAGGAGAGACGTAGAGTGAAGAAATACACAGTATGGAAGAACTTTATCTCCTTACACAGGAAGGAAAAAAGCTGTTTTTTTCCCTTTACAATGTTTAATAAATGTTTGATCTGAATTGATAATTTTACCTCTAATTCTGTATGTCATAATCAATAGAAAATTCTCAGCTCTCTCCTTTCACCAACGGGCCTCTCAGAAAGACTTAGAGAAGGACAGCCAGGGTAGAAGTGACTTCTGGAAAGCAGTACTTCGGCACTTCACCTTATGAAGGCCGCAGCAGCTATAGGGTTTTAATAGTTGGAACATCTCTGGGAAGCAAATGGAAAAGTTCTTGGATCCTTATTCCAAGGAAGCAGAGTACCCTGATCCACAGGCTGAATCACATCAAGATGAAACTGTTAGTGTCCTTTCGGAGCTCAAGGTCCCCTTTGTCTCTTGAATGCCCAGGCTAGTTTGGTAGCTGCCTGTTAGCAGTGTACTAAGGTTTGTGGTCCTAAGTTTACTGGAGTTGATTTAGCCTGACCTGGGATTGTGTGGCATTTAGGCCATCCGTGTGGTGAACTGGGAAGTAGAAGGCCCTGGAACAGGGTGTTGAACTGCCAGATGAAGATGGTGCATGAGCAAAGTAACGGGAACCGTCTAGGAAAGAGTAAGGTTAGGGCAGAGAACAGGGCAGGGATGGTAGTGTTGGCAGCAGGTGTAGGAGGCCTAGAGGGCCAGGAAAGATATCCATGAGGGGCACCTTGGAGAAGCGGCTTTCTGGTGGGTGATAGTGTTGGTGAGCAGGCCTCTAACATTCTACACCGCCGTGTCAGAAAAGATGAGTCAGAGTAATAAGAGGAATGATTTTAACATTTAAAAAAAACATTGAACTTCAGCTAGGATAAGGGACCCAGGCAGGGTAGGGAGGAAGGTGGGGGCAGTGACAGCTGAGCCTGGTGCATGTTCCTGCTCCTCGCTTGGGGTTGGAGAGCAGCATGATAATCAGATCCAGGGAGATGTAAGTCAAGACCGTGGAGCTCAAGGATGCCTGGGTGGCTCAGTCGGTTAAGCATCTGCCTTGGGCTCAGGTCATGATCCCGGGGTCCTGGGGTTGAGCCCCCGCATCGCATCGCATCAAGGAGCCTGCTTCTCCCTCTGCCTGCAGCTCCCCTTGCTTGTGTACTTGCTCTCTCTCTCTCTCTAACAAATAAATGAATAAAGTCTTTAAAAAACAAAAAAAGACCAGGTAGCTCAGACCCAGCCTTTCATCTGGACCCTTCATCGAGCACTCAGGGGGCAGCGCCATCCTCCCTTCCAGGGAACCATCTTAGAGTCAGGTCTTCAGGCTACATTTATTGCGGGGCAAGGGGGAGGGGATGAGGAGAATGGCTGGTATCCTTTCAGAGGTATCCCTGGCCGTGCTGACTTGCCCTTTCTTCTGTGTGCGTAGGTGTAGACGGGGCACTGCCTGCAGAGCAGGTCCTGCCAACCTCGCTAGAGAGGATGCCCCCGTGTCCGTGATGGGCTGTGGGACAAGCAAGGTCCTTCCGGAGCCGCCAAAGGACGTCCAGCTGGATCTCGTCAAGAAGGTGGAGCCCTTCAGTGGCACTAAGAAGGATGTGTACAAGCACTTCATCACAGAGGTGGACAGTGTTGGTGCTCTCAAAGCCGGGTTCCCAGCAGCCAGTCAGGGTGCAAACCCCTGCCCTGGTGCCCCCGTTAGCAGCCACACAGAACCTCCCTCAGAACCACCACGCAGGGCCAGGGTGGCTAAGTACAGGGCTAAGTTTGACCCACGTGTGACGGCCAAGTACGACATCAAAGCCCTCATTGGCCGAGGCAGCTTCAGCCGAGTGGTCCGTGTGGAGCACCGGGCAACCCGACAGCCCTATGCCATCAAGATGATTGAGACCAAGTACCGGGAAGGGCGGGAGGTATGTGAGTCAGAGCTGCGTGTGCTGCGCCGGGTGCGTCACGCCAACATCATCCAGCTGGTGGAGGTGTTTGAGACGCAGGAGCGCGTGTACATGGTGATGGAGCTGGCCACCGGTGGAGAGCTCTTTGACCGCATCATCGCCAAGGGTTCGTTCACTGAACGTGATGCCACGCGGGTGCTGCAGATGGTGCTGGATGGTGTCCGATACCTGCACGCACTGGGCATCACACATCGAGACCTCAAGCCTGAGAATCTGCTCTACTACCACCCTGGCACTGACTCCAAGATCATCATCACTGACTTCGGCCTGGCCAGTGCCCGCAAGAAGGGCGACGACTGCCTGATGAAGACCACTTGCGGCACACCCGAGTACATTGCACCTGAGGTCCTGGTCCGCAAGCCCTACACCAATTCAGTTGACATGTGGGCACTGGGTGTCATTGCCTACATCCTGCTCAGTGGCACCATGCCCTTTGAGGACGACAACCGCACCAGGCTGTACCGGCAAATCCTCAGGGGCAAGTACAGTTACTCGGGGGAGGTGAGTCTGCCCTGCCCCAGGGATGGTGGGAGGCCCCTGGCAGCGCTTGATCAGGGGGATGTGCTCTGAGGGCCATGTTCATGGGGTCAGGCAGGTAATGTAGAAAATGATGAAGTGAGACTAATAGGGTCTCTTAGTTTGGGTTTCCCCAAAAATGTGCCCTGAGACTTGGGAGCAGATGTAATTGGGATAGGAGTCCAGTAAGCACAGGCGAAGGGTAGGAAAGTGAGGCAGAAAGGAGGAAGCCAATAAAGGCCTGTGAAGGAGTGGACTGCCGCTGTGGGCCGCTGGAACTCCCACTGGGGACCCTGTGAATAATCACATGGAACATGCCTCAGAACTGTACCACTGAGGGACAAGAAGGTGAGTGGGTTTTAATCCACTGACTCCTGTAAGAGTTGAGAATTTCTTTGGGGGGAGGGGCATTAAATCCCTGGCACTTCCGGGCTGTCCTGATGTCAGCCGGTGCTGGAGAAAGTCTTCAGGCAGAGAAGCAGGGAGATGCGGGCACTGGTACCCGGGGAGCTGTCCGCATGCATGGGGCCCCCACAGCTGCAGGTGAGCTCAGAGGTGGGCTGGAGCACATGGGCCAGGGTGGCCGCAGTAGCTGCTCCACGGGGACTGGGACAAGCTAGAGTGACCATGTCCCGTCGAAAGGATCTGCTGCTGGTCCTCTGCCCAGTTTTGCCACACAGCCCAGAGGATTCTCTGCACCCACACATTCCAGTTCTTTTAAGAGAAGCCAGAAAATTTTATCTTAAGATGTTGGAATTCCATTTGTGCCAACAAATACTTACCTGCAGGCCAGATCCAACCAGCAGGCCATCAGTTTGTGTCTTTGGATCCACTGATTGTCCTGATACCTGAAAAAATCTGTTAGGTTTCAGCACTGCTGGGAGCTGAAGGAAGATGCACAAAAAGAAAGACCTGATTGGTCCTCAGGCAGGATGCTGAATGGGCGGGGAGATGAGGCTGACCGTAGGCAACAGCAGGTGCTGTAAGCATAATGGTGGACTTGGGAGGCTGGTGAATAACAGAATGTGTGATGGCTTAACTGGGAGGTAAAGTAAGCTTTGCAGGACAGCAGGATTCTGGTGGGGCAGCGAGGGCCCCTCCCCAAGTGCCCCCTGCAGAATGTGCCCCACAGTGTTCCCCTCAGGCTTGGGCCTGCCTGAACAACCTGCATGGTGGGGAGGAACCAGCCCCCTTCTGAAACCCAGCTTTCCTTCCAGGGATTTTGGACTGGGCCTTCTCTGGCTCCAGCCACCTGGCCCAGAGCAGCATTTCCTGCAGGAGTTACCCCCCAAAGCCTCTTGCCACTTTGTCTTCAGTGCTCAGTGCTTGGGGTCCTGTGCTCCGTCAAACTCCTTATTAGCATCCAGACGTGGTCGTGAGGTCAGTCAAGGACTTCCTGTGAGGACGGGGGCTGGCATTCCTTAGGGGGATCTCCAGGTCACGTGTTAGAGTGGTATGAGGAAGGGAGGGAAGCCTTCATCGTTAGGCCAGCTCTGTGCTGGCCATAGGCCAAGGAGAAACTGGGACTTTGTCTAGCTCTCCCCTAAAGTTTCTCTTGTCCTCTGGGCTCCAAATGGATTCAACAAAACAAATGCTAACTGGCTGGGAAGCCCAGGCTACGACGGCGTAGTCACAGAGGGCACCCCCCTCACGCTCTGGACCAGCTTTTGTCACAGGTCAGAAGACCCAGCCTCCACCTCCCAGAGGTAGTGTTGTGCCAAGGCTCCGCCTGGCCTGCTGTATGCTGGGAGCTCTGTGTGGTGCCAGGCTGTTGGGGCCTGGCTGGCAGAGGGAGTAGCGAGCTCAGCTACAGGAGAGAGGGAGGTTTCCCAAGAGATGCTACCAGAGCGAAGACTCTTTCTGAAAGTCGGTGGGTTTGCCCAAGAGTTCCTGATTCTGGCAATTGTGGATCAAGCAGTTTTATCTAATTGGAGCTTGCAGTCTTGCTAACTGGCTATTGATTATCTGTGGCTTGGAGAATGACAAACGAATAGGGTGAGGAATGGACTCGGGCTTCCTGCTCCTCCCGTAGCCACTAGACTGGATCCTTAGACTCTGTTTCCTGCTCTGCTGGAACACAGTCTGAGGCTCCCAGTGTTATGGGGGGCACTGCCCAGTCTCACCCCCCGCCCCATTTATCTGAAGCTGAAAGCATGAGTTCCCAGTTCCAGAGTCAAATTCCTGGCCAGCCCTGTTGGCATCTGTCCCTTACCAAGAGCGTGGCTGACTCCAACAACAGGTTCTACCACCATCTGCAGAGAGCTATGGTTTGGGGGGGATTTGTCTGGGGTATTTCTTGGGTGAGGAGGCCTCATCATTAGATCATGCTCTCTGAGGTGGTGACCGAGCATCTGTCTTTCTGTTCTACTGACTGCTTACTCTACTGCTTACTACTAGTAGAGTAGCCCATAGACTACTCTACTCTACTGCTTACTCATAAATGCACCTGGGGAAGATGCAGAGACATGAAGGCTTGTTCTCCATCCCCCGTGAAGCTTGAGATTGCCTGGGGAGAAAGGACTAGGAGTAGGAAATGGCCACAGAACAAACCCTTGTTGGCAGCACCTGCCAGTGCAGGCCTCACCTCCAGCCACTGGGTCTGGGCAGTCTGCGACATGAGCTGTGGGGCTCAGGTCAGGTGGCGGGGCTGGTCTCCCTTCCTAGGGCTGGGCCCTGCCCCCACCCTCAGTCCAGCCATCTGTCCCATCTGTCTTCTACTGGGTGATGGTCATTTGCCCTTCTGAAGGCCATCCAAGTGAGAAGGCCCTGCCAGAAAACCTGTCTGAGAGCATGTCATGTTAAAGGGGGACGCTTTGATCTGACTTCTGCAAATGAAGGACCACCCACTTAGAGCTCAGGAAGGTTTGGAGGTGTGCATTGCTCACCTGACAGTAAGTCTCATGGCAGTTAGTGCCTTTCTAGGGGCACTTTTCCTGCCCCCCTGACACGCTCATAGTGGTACCTTATGTATACCAGGCCCCATCCAATGGGCTTGTTTCCCGAGGCCTATGTCTGTGTAGTTCCCTGTCAGGCTCAGTGGTTTCTGTGGACTTGAATAAAGGGCTTTCTACAGGAGGTGGGCCTTGAGAAGGAGGAAGCTCAGAGAAAGGGACATTGCTGACTGTCCTCAGAAGAGGGGCAGTAATGGAGCCCAGGTTGATGAGGCTGGGGCAGGCCTGGCGTTTGCCGTTGGTGTTTGTTGTTCGCTCTGTAGTGCCAGAGGCTCTTTGGAAACAGTACGGTGGGAGCGAGCCCTCTGGGGTCTTGATAGTGATGGGGGAATGCAGCAGAACGTGTTGTGGGAGACTCACAGGATGAAGACCGACGGGGGAGGGGGGCCGCTGTTGTAGTAATCCGAGTCGGGGGTGGAGGAACCTGGCATCCTGGGGGTGTTTGAGGCAGAGCAGAGATTCCTGAGAGTGGGCTGCACATGTTGTTTAGGGAGAGGTATGGGGACAGAGTCGTGCTGCAGCTCTGCAGAAGCTTCAGCTTCCAAGGGCAGAGTGAGAGAGGACTCACGGGACAGACTGCCCTCTGGTCCAGAGGGTGTGTAGGCTCCTGCCTTGACATCCCTAGGTGGGGCCCAGTGGTGGAGGGAAGTACTCCAAGTACTCCAGCCCCACAATCCTGACTCTAGATGCTCCAGCCCATAGCCTGGCCCCGCTCTCTGCCCCATTTCCTACACGCCACAGGCCTGAGATGTTTGCTCCGTTCACTCCCCATACTAAGCTATTGCTCAGGGTTTTCACTCTGCTCCCAGTGTCGGCCTTAGAAATTTGGCCAGCTCTGGACAGAGGGCTAAGGGTTCTATATCCAACATGTTTAATCTCCACAACAGTGCCTCCGGGTGGGTGTAACGCCCCCATTTTACAGATGAGGAAACTGAGGCTCGTGAGGTTAAGTAACCTGTCCATGGTTTCACAGCTAGAGTGTGACAGGCCTTGGGATTTGAATCTAGGCCATCTTGGTGTCAGAATTTTTGCCTCTCCATCCCCACAGTCTGTGTTCCCTGACATACATGCCTTAGCATGTTGCTGGAGTCTTTGCTTCAGCACTTTCTTGGGCTGCTGTCTGTGGACATCTCTCCTCTCAGGCCTGTTAGGTCCTTGAGGACAGCTTGTGTATCAATGCATATGTTCCCAGTACTTTCTCCTGGCTTCTCCTGAGGGAAGCACCCGTGGTTGTTGGTGCTGCCCTGGGAAAGGATGCGGAAGGGGCTGGCTGGCAGGGAGACGGGTGTGGCCCTGCTGGCTGGGAGTGTTCTCTTCTGGGGGCTGGGCTCCAGGAAGAAGTAGAGAGCCTGCTGGAGAGGTGGTTAGTGGTCTGCTGGCCAGACCTGCTTAGGAGCAGCTTTGGAATCTTGGAAGAGGAGGGAGTGCTGGGAAGGAAAAGGCTGTGACAGATGATTTTGAGAAGAGAAATCTTCATTTTCCCTGGTGACCAGAGGTGCCGGAGCGGAGAGGGCCAAGCCAGAGTCGTGTTGGACGTGATGGGGAGACGCTTGTTGGTCAGATGTGAGGAAGGCCTGTGTGAGTGGGAGAGCAGTCAGAAGACACAAGGAGCCACCTTGAGTGAGGGAGCTTCTTGTCATGAGAGATTCTAGGAGGGCTGGAGCAGCTTTTTCTGAAGGAGTGACACCAAAGGTGAGTCATCATCCGTAAGACCCGTACTAGAGGCCTGTCATAGTCCCACTGGCTGGGAGATTCTGTGATTAACTGCCCATGAAATGTGACGTTGTCGGCCTGATGTCATTGCTTTTGTCAAGAGTTCTATTCCCAGAGGACGGACGGATGAGGAGGCTCTTGTGGGATTGGTGGCAGAGTGGTGCCATCAGCAGCTTTGCTGCCTGTCGTGTTGAACAGCCTTTAATCGTTGCTCTCTGCTGGGGCAGTCTCCGAGCTGTGGGCAGGCGCGGGCTACTGCGCCGGGAACGGGTGGGCTTGGACACAGGTTCTCACGGTGTCTTGCTCAGGAGAGTGAGTGCT